GAATCATCCCGAAACTGTTGGCCATTAGCTCGCGTAGTGAATGTTGAGAAAGACGAAGATGGCCTAGTTCGAAAAGTAAAGTTGATGGTCGGCGAGCGGAGACTCACGAAGCAAGGAAGAAGAGAGAAGCCTCTCGTTAGCCTGGAACGTCCAGTCCACAAGTTGATATTGTTGATCCAAGGAGAAAGACCGGGAATCCCCGCCGAAGAGCCTGATGACAAATGATACAGACATTGCTGATAAACGTTAAGTTCATGTTATTGTTGTTTATATTTAGTAAATTCGAATTTCGAATTTAGGGGAGCCATGTAAGTGCTCGCGTTGCGTGGACACGCGCGCGTGTACAGATCGGAAACGTTCGTACGTTGTCGTGCCTTTTTGGCGCGAAAGAACACAAAAGAAAAGAACATGTTTAATACGAAAGGACAAGCTTTTTGTATTTTAAGATTTGTAAATTAAGATAAAGGCCGAGTCATCAACGTTGTTTACCCGGCCAAAACCAAGTAACCTAAAGATAAAACATGAATAAAGATTAGTGAACATTTACATATACTATCGAATATAAAGAACTATACAAATATATACTATCGAATATAAAGAACTACTAAACTTCCTACGGCCACGTAGAGATTGAAGAAAACAACAATTTATATATCACTCAGTGTCGGAAAAGAAGTCATTGCCTATTGAACTAAAACAATCTACTAATTTTCTAAAACAATCTACTAACTCTTTCAAACCAAACCAAACCAAACCAAACCAAACCAAACCAAACCAAACCAAACCAAAACATTTCGTCAAATTGAGGTAAACTTTTTCCAACCACAATTAGGTATATATGTTATCCTTAACTATTTTGTAAATACTTTATAATTTTAATATTTGCATATAGTGTACTGTAGTAGTATACTTCGGTGCATGAGTGGAACGCCCTGAATAAATAATAATAATAATATTATTATTAGTCTGCGACGCCAATTTGGTGACCCGTAAGAGTTTTCGTACTTTACTTTTCATGATAGTGGAATGAAGAAAACGCTATAAAAATTCATGGTAAACATGATGTTCACTGCCAAAGACTTTCACACATTAAATACCGCTTTCTGCTTCATCTTTTCGTGTTTTTATCTTTTGAAGGAAAACTATTCCAAGTCTATATAGCTATAGACAATGGAATCTGCTAACCCAAATATGTTATGAGCCTCGTTCGCATCCGCTTAATTCGCTCTTGCAGAGAAGAAACCCTGGCTACACGGAATTGGTCAGGTGAGTCACCCCCGGATTTCGCGTGATAGAAAAACTTTTTTTGCAGTTGGGGTGGTAGAGACGCGTGTTGTCGCATTTGCAAAATTGTAACTAATGACATTTTCAAGGCATGAAGCAATTACAATATCTGCCAGAATTTTCCGATGAAATATTGAAGGCTTTCAGAGGAGAATCTTTTGTATGTTACGTAACACGCGTTCAAAACTAATGAATATACTAAATTTCCACTTGGTTATGAGTATATATTCAATTTGTTTATTCTCGAATTCCTTTCTCAAGCGGCAAACAAACTTCAACTTAAAGTATGTTTAGTACTTTATCTGTAAGATTATGCTAAAATGAAGAGATTCTAGACGACACACCAAAGAGAAAATGATGTCTGAAGTTCAGTAAGTTTTGCTTATATTGCTGTATGTAAAATATGGCGTCAATTTTACAGCATGCATCAATGATAATTATATTAAATATTGTATTAATAATTGTATTTATTATTAGCATGACAAGATTACTGGATGCTGATTGGTTAAGAGGAGTACAATTATTTCATTAATTGTACTGCAGTACAATTAATGATTTTCCCAAAACAAACAAAATGCGGAAAGGTATTTTAACACAATTGCGAAATAAAATTGCCGTGGAGGAACTAGATGAAAATACGAGCAAAAGCACCAAATTTTACTTTAACAAAAGAACTAAATGAAAATACAAACAAAAGCACCAAATTTTGGTTGCAAGTCTGGCAGGCGGCGGCTCGTCCAATTTTGGCAAAATTTCCAAACATCACTCGTACTATTAATCCCTAATTGTACTTGCCATCGCATGATTACCTATACTAATTATTTAACTATTATTCTTGTGTTTCTCAATCGCCAGATACATTTGTCATTTTAAAAGGTTGCTAACTGCGTAAACTGCAAAATAAAGCTAAAGACAAAGTAATTTTGAGAGGAACGCCAAAAAGATATTAGGTTGTGAACACTTTTGTCTCCGTAATGCCCACCTGTCCAGCTGTTTAAATGTTGCAATAAAATTATTATCAATTATATCAAGCGTTCTTGCGACAATTATTAATAGCAAACCTGACAGAAATTTGTAAATAATGTACACGTTTTAAGCATGGTACTGATGTAACTTATAATTGCAGGATCTCACTGAAGAACACTACGGTGATGTGGGTATCCTGGCTATATAATCTTAAATAATAAAATTTCATGGTAACCGTAAGATATTAACAAAAGTTTACTAAGCTGTGGCAACTTTATTTATTCTTGAATGATTAATAAATACAATAGTGGATAAACATTATGGGCCTGCATCTGCTAAAGAGTTTTATTATCTGTGAGATAAGATTTATTAAAACATCACATTATGAATCAGTCGGTGGAACAAGACATATCCGTAATATCATGTCACATCTTTGGAGGAACACATGTCTTTTTGAGAAAACTTCCATCTGATGAGCTACACACCAACCACATTGTCACAATAGCTGTCAATATCATCTTGATAATTCCTACTATACTACTAAATGCTGTTTCCATTATTACTATCGTAAAATCTTCTCAACTGAAGAACAAGCTATGTTACTTTATAATTCTTTTGCAGTCCGTGACCGACTTGGCAGTTGGCGTTTTCGGGATACCTATATTTCTTGTCTTTTTGGTTACAGGAATAGGAAAAATATCAAACTGCTTTGTAGCAACACTGGTGTATAGATCGTCGGTTTTACTAATCGGAGTGTCAATTTTAACATTATCTGCATTGACAATGGAAAGATACATTGCGGTCTTACATCCGTATAGTACTCAAGTAACAAGAAGGAGGATTTTGTTGTATGTATGTTCAGGTGTTGTGGTAATGTTCTTGGTCGCCATCCTATCCCTCGCCATTGAAGGATTGATAAAAAGATTCACAATGGTACTGGCAACACTCTTCTTTACATTCGCTGCATTTGTTTATGCAAGAATATATCTGGTCGTTAGAAAGTTAGCCCGCCCATCGGATGCCGCTGTGGTAAACAATTTGGCAAGACAGAAAATGTTTCTTCGGGAAATAAAACAAGCACAAAAATGTTTCAACGTTGTTATATGTTTCTTTGTTCTCTGTTTCTTGCCGGTAATAGTAACAATTTGTGTTGCTACACATGTTGACAAATACAAGTTGCAAGCAATTCAAAACTGGGCCACCACACTTAGTATATCCAATTCCAGCATTAACTCTATCATTTTCTTTTGGACGAAAACAATGTTAAGAAGAGAAGCTGCAAAGATGCTGAAAGTCATTTGTTTGCATTGATTAAAAAGTACACTTGGTACCACTTTTAAGTGTTTTTGAATATTGAAAGCTTGGTGGGTCCTCTTGTGACATCAGTTGTTAAATAAATTGTTGCCCTGTTGGATTGCTTTCCTTTTCTTTAATAATACTTGTAAAAGTTTGGACTTAAATTTTATATTTAATTATATAGTATTTGAGTCGTTTATTGCTAGATTTTTAGTTTATGTAACTGTATCAATGACCTCTATTAACTTTCAAGGACCTTAATTTCCACACCTGGTATTCTATCTATATAAAATACACAGACATTTTAGCATGCGCACCAGTGTAGAAAGTTTGTATTGCGTGGTGGATATCTCCGGCACGCAATTTTGATGCTTTCTATATATTTACTATAAAATTTTCGAAATCTCTGGCACGCAATTTCCAAACTTTCCAGTCTGGCATGCGCAGACAGAAATTCAACTCCAAAATCCTGTGTCTAGCAGTTATAACTTACAGTATGGGTCCCTTCAAATTATTGACCCATTGAGCCCCAACACTCTTGGTGAGTAAAACAGAGCCTGAAATAATTTTAAAATTTGTCCGGAAAAACTTCCGATCAAAACGAAATTTGACCGGAAATTTGCAAAATTGACCGGAATTTTTTTTAGTTTAGTTTGACCAATTCCACCCCC